TTTGAGTATAGTTGACAACATTGTCATCTTCACCCTTATTAGCTAGTTCTCCATCATCATTATCAATAGTAATGTCCTCATTCAATAAGTCATCACGCGGATCAACTATAACTATATAGTTATGAAGTATAGCACAAGCCAAAACTATATCAACTTGGGTTGGAATAGGATAATGTGGCTCTCCAGTGAGGATTTTGAAACGATTCTTTAACAATCCAAAGGTTGATTCAATTTTAGACCTTAGCGATGAATGTCTTAAATTGAATAACTCTCTTCTGTTATTTATTAGCTTATCCTTATGCACATTTAAATGGTAATGTACACCACGACAAGGGGATTGAAGCTAGGCATGGTTGTGTATCTCGCATCACACAAATAATATCTGCCTACAATTATATGTTAGGTCTCATGTTTATCAGTCTATTATCTAATCTATTTTTGGTGATTAACAAACAATTCCTAACATCGTTTGTTGAGTGTTTGTATTTGTTTGTTAGGAATTCTACACAAATATCCTCAGTTGGAGGTGGGTTGGACTTGCGCCTTTACGATAATATCTAAAGAAGGTTGGAGGAAATCGGAATGAAGCATGATGCAATCCAAGCCAAAGTCATTATCGCTTCATCCGCAACCAAAATGAGCAACATTGAAGATCATTAGCTTGGGTATAGTTTCATAGTCTAGGTTGTTTACTTTATATGGTATGCTTAAAGCTCAAATCAAACACATACACGTTTCATTTTATCGCTTTCAAGTTTAGCCATTTAAATATGAAACTAATAGATATATTTATATACATATACATTTGTTTCATATTTATCTCATTATACATTTTTTGTGAAAATAATGTCATTATGGATTAAAGACTTGCTTATACTATTTCACATCTTTTCTAATGTCTATTAATCCATTTAAAAGTATCTCAGAACTTGTTTGAAAGGAATTCATCAAAATCAAGTTTTAACCAGTTCGTATTTTTTGAGATTTTGCAAAATAATGAGTGTTCACAAACAGGAAATAATATTTCAAAAATTTCTTTTCTGACATGTTTATATTCATGCATATAAACATTTTCCTAAGTTTTATAATTTTTAAAATTTATTTGCTATTTTTAATACACCTTTGAAAATTAGATTTATTATTCAAAACTGGGTTATGCACGCTTTTCGGTCGATCAACACTGTTCATCAGTTGACCGATGAACTGCTCTGTAATTGCTAAAAAGTTTTCGCTCAGTCGACTGATCTTCATCAGTCGACTGAACAGTATTTTTAGTTGACCGATGACTTGCATCAGTCGACCGATGGTTTCTCAGAATCAGCCAACGGTCAGCTTATCAGTCGACTGAATAGTGCATCAGTCGACCAATGGCACTGTAACGTCTATTTCTAGTTTTGCTGATTTTTAGGGATTTTGTTGGATTTTGTAAATTTTTTTGGTTTTGGGGTTTTGTTTTAAGAACCTATATATACCCCTCAGTCCTCAACACTTATATCCAAGAAAAGTTTAAAACAAAGTTTTGCAAGTTTGTTTAAGTGTTTTAAAGAAAATTTTAGTGTGTTGTATATGTGAAGAGAGTTTCACAAGAGGAGGAGATCATTTTGGTTTTGAGCATCAAATTTTCACATCTCTATCTCTCTTGCTTGTTTTAGAGAAGTTTTTCTAAACTCATCTTCTAGCTATTTGATATTTTGATTCTTATATATTTATGCTAGATTGAATTGAGTTTATATTTTATTATACTCATTGTTTTCATACACAACCACTTGAGCTTAAGTTATTTCACATATTGTATATTTTGGGTTGTGAGAGTGTAACAATTGAGTGAGCTTTCATTTTCGTTCTCATTTGTATTAGAGAACAAAATCTTTATTTGAGCTTATTGTTGTGAAACACGTTGTAATACATTAGGACACTTAGAGGGATAGTTGAGAGAGATGGGGTCAATTCCAAGAGGGGTGGCTTGGTTGTAAAAGGCTAGGGAGAGGTAGTAATTCCAAGCACTTGAGGAAGGTGATACGGGCTAGGCCAACACTTAGAGGAGTATATTATGTATTAACAATTGTGTGAGTTATAAACGTTATCCGTGAACATTGAAAACCGATTTGTGTAGTTATATTTGTGTGATAGTGGAGAATCTCCTCGAGGGTGAGGAGCGGAGATGTAGGTCGAGGGTGACCGAACTCCGTGAACATATTCTTGTGTTTGTGTTTGTGTTTGGCATTGGCACACTTATTCTTGTGTATATTTTTATATCGTCTATTGTCTCATGTTTATATCATCCTTTGTTTAATTCTATATCTATGCATATATCTCTTGTATACATCATATTGCTAGGATATTGTTAGTAAGTTTTAATTTGGCATCAATATCGGATTAGATTAGTAATTATCCTATTCACCCCCAGGGTACTTTCATTATAAACAACACATTATAGTAAATAGATATACTTTTATAAATTATAATTGAATATTTATTTTAGTGGTTAATGCTTAATTACCATCATGACTCTCAGTCCACGAGGTTGAGGTCTTGAAAGTGCATCTTGTAGTACTCTATAATCATTTGTGGACACATCCCATCCAGCTAGAACGTACGAAAATAACTTATTTGGGGTGCGTGCAACTAGAACACTTTGAGTTACAACTTTACGGCCTTTAAAACAGGCCACAAGTCTAGCGGGAAGCATGACATCAATGTGGGTTACATCTATCATGCCAATGCAATCCTATATAACGTACGAAAATTACTATTATTTCATAAAATAACAAAGTTCATTTGTTCAATGCATGTTATGTGAATGAGTTCATTACCTTGAAATAAGAATAGTACAAAGGATTGTTTGCAATCTCTGGCGCCAATTCCTTTGGTGCTTGCTTCAGGAATCGCCCCCTTATACGACCAACTACTTTTAGGCATTTGTTAAAATATCTAGAAATTGTTTCTCCTGATCTTATGAAATGTGATCTTACTATTCTATTTTTTTATTTTATGTCCTAATATATTAAGGAACATGATCAGTTGTTCTTCTACTTTAACATTACGTGAATCCTGTATTAGGCCTGTAACTCTCATTATTCTAACAAGATTTTCAAATGCATGCGGCCTCATTCTAACATAATCTCTACACCTTTGACTATAGCCAGTAAATACACGACATATGTGGGCATTTCTAGACTCTATCTTTTGTTTTTTCCCCTCCCTATGGTGATAAGTAACAGATTTTCTTCTAGAAGGCATTCTCATTACACATGTCAACACAGTCATAGTAGCATTATTCGATATCCTCATTAACATTTCATCATCAATACCATCCATCTACAATGATTGAAAAATATATTCTTAAACATACGCAAATGCTTAAAATCAAACTAATTTTCTAAAACTTTTAGCTGATATTAAGTTTAGTCAAATTATATAAGTACATCAATAATTCTTATTATCAACCACGATATCATATCGCACATGAAATCATAGTGTACCAATAATATGAGCTAGCCGCCTACGTATATGCAAAAGTCATCATCAAGTAAAGATACACATGTAAAAAGTTTTTAAAAAAAATATCAAAAAGTGAGCGCATTGCAGTTTTTGAAAGTTTTCTCAAACATCAAGCAACATTCTCATAACGAAATTAACCAAGAATATAAACTATTAAAATACATCATTATCATCATTGCTGTTGCAACTTGCTGTCATCATCACCATAAATACCTCTCTACTAATATGAGGATAGCTGTGAAAGGCCCGCATAGAATTTCAAGAAATGTAAGCATATTACATATGAAGAAAGCATGATTGACAATTACAAGAACCTAATTTCTAAATAACATATTGAATATGAGATTATGAATTTGAGACAGAACTTAAAAAAAAAACCAATCTTAAGCAAAGATTATAGGTAGAAAAAGAATCACAACCACTAAAATAATTTAATCTCATTTGAAAATGAAATCAACTTCACTAAATATTCCTTTCAATTCTCCTAAAATGTTGCTCTTTCAGTTCGAGGATATCAAGATAAAAAACTATCAAAACACAAATCCAATATGGCTAACAAACAGTTAATTGAACAATGCACATAATTCTTCAGATTTGTACAAAAAAATAAATCTAATGATAAAGTGCATTCACGATCCCAAAAACCCTGTCCAAATCAATCAAGCCACCAAGAAATGGTACACAATTAACAAGCATAAAACCATATCAATAATTGATGAGATCAAGAATTTTAGGTTATACATTTGCTTTGTTATGGAGCAGATCCGAAAATCCCGATGTAAAATTTTTATAGTATGAAACCTAATCAAGAAATCAAGCATTCAGATTTGAAGAAGAGAACACAAAGGAAGTACTGACTATACCCAAGTCAGAGAAGGTTGCCTCCAAGAACAATGGGGACATGCATCATGAAAACCCCCAAATCAAAATATCCACTTCTTTATAAACCCCAAAAAATCATAAAATTCTTTTTGAAATCAATAGCTAGAGTTCATCATGAAGGTAATCAAGAGGAAGGAATCACTTTGCACCTTTTATATGGCCGATTTGAGCAGATTTAGGGGTTGTTTTTGATGAAACGACGGGAAATGGAGGATGGAAATGGAAAGGCGGAGGGAAGGAGAGGCGGTGATTGTAAACGAGGAGATAGGCAATGGATTGTCACATGAAAAGAAAAGAGGAGAGTAGTAATGCTGAGGTGGACAAATTGTCAGAAAAATTTAGCCCATTTCCGAGCTAAAACTGAGAAATTGTGCTGTCCATAAAATTTAGTGTTTTTTCTATTTTTTAAAAAGCTTTTCTAAAAAAGAAATGAACCAAACCCAAAATTTAGAATCCAGAAATGATCCAAAACTTACTGGTTGATTAAAAAAAAAAGGTTACTTTCCTAAAATTTTGACCCAAACAGCCCCTAAAACCCTAAACCCTTGCTCCCATTTTCTACCCAATCTCAATCTCTCTCCCATGGCCACTCGCGCTTCC